GCAGGTTCAGTTTCAATATCATGTCACACACATGGGGAAAAAACCTCAAGGATTCGTGGATTCATAATGATAAGGTGGATGGATAGTGCTTGAGTTTGTCATTGAGTTTGCTGTAATTAAAAATTCCGTATAATGATACATGCTGTGTATTGCAAGGAGTCATGCATTGCACTTGAATGAAGGCAAAAAATTAAGCCATTAATGCCTCACACTTTTGTGTTGCTATAATTCTTATGAAATTATCAATACAGACTTATAAAAATAAATAATAACAAGACAAAAAAAAAAATGTAATTTTATCTAAAATGTCACATTTATTGGAGCCTATTTGGCTGTTGTGTCTGCGGATTTTCTCTTGATTTCTTTTTTGTATTGCAGTTGCGCTGTATGTGGCATATCTCGCTGCCATATTCAGTGTTGAACAGTTTTTCAGTTTTGTCCAACATTGGCCATACAAACATCAATTGAGTATTTTCCAAAAATGATAAATAGCGACAATCACATCTTCAGTTCTGAAGACGCATTCATGTCCATATTAAGGAAACGTTTCATTATTCTGGAATCTGTGTGTACACAGATTAGGAAACTTATGTTACACAAATGGTTTTGGCTTTACAGTGAACCGTTCCATTGCGACAACAACAACACTACGAGTACCAACAATAAATAATAACCTGTTCACATCTTCAGTTGCAGCCAACGTGTCTTAAATCAACAAATTGCATAAAAAGCGCACTGAAAACCACTGGATGATGAAGAAAGACTTTAAATTCCCCAAAGTAAGATGTGAAGTTCATAATTTTAAAATATTACAATCGCACTTAAAAATGGATAAAAAGTTACAGTTTGCAACAAATATGGTTGATTAAATTGATATAGAAACTTAGCAGATACAGGGTAATACAGTTTTTTTAGTAGAGAAGATTTGGAAGCAAATACAGGAATGTTAAAGTATAAATTAATTATTTTTTAAAAATGATTAGTTAGTAGATTTGTAAATTGTATATGGACTTAAATCTTTAAAAAGTATCACATATCACAGTTTTTTTGGTAGAAGACACTTGAGTAGCGAGAACAGGAATGTTAAAGTATAAGTATCAATTAATTTTTTTTAAAAATAATTATTTATAAGATTTGGTAATTGGACATGAATTTAATTCTTTAAAGAGTATTACATCATTAGTTAAGGTTACATCAAATTTTTTGCACAAGGTAAACTTTTCAATAATATATTATTTTATTATCACATAGGGAATGATTTTGATATAAATAAATTTGTTTGAAATATAGGAATTGAAAAAATTAATTACAATATTTTATTTAATTAATTAGTGTTTAAGCTGATCCTACATGTGTTTCGAACACTGCCAAATTTGTTTTTGGTTTTTATAATATATTTCATCAAATAAGTCAATAGGGAAGATGTTTAAGGAACAATTTTATTTTTATATTTTTTATAAGATTTTTTATCGCCTAACTCAATAGGAAAGACATTTAAACAGTTGGACATTTTTTATGTTAGTATATAAACTTGACAAGATCAAGACACATAACTTCGAAAATTTATGAAATAACGATCCTGGCGTATATCTCAAACTTAAACCTTATATATACTACTGTTTAAAAAGTAATTTTGTTTTTTTTTTATTTAAATAAAATTTGATTTTCTTGTAGTGAATAAATATTTTACTAATTGTACATTATGGTCCAATACATTTTGTCATCTTTATGGTAGTAACATGATTCCATGTTAATAAAATTTTTGTTCCATCCTGGTAAAGAACCGGTTCCGGTGATTTTTGTCCTCCTCATGAAAAGCAAAGTTTTTATAGGCTCAAATATTTTGTAGAGAACATAATAAATAATAATCAAAAGCAATCAAATATGAAGAAAAGAATGGGTATAGCACTATATCCCTTTAAAGCTTAAAAGTTATGGGCGATTTGCTAAAATTCTATGCCTTTGCTTTTGATTAAATGATCTTTTCTGTTTAAGTGAATAATTTAATTCGTATTGCTTATGACAGTACTTTTTAGAATTAGTCGTTTTATTGTCAAAAAAAGGGATTCTCTTGAAATCGAAATTAAAATTTAAGAAATGTCCATTTTTTAAGTACTTTAAGCCGGCGTGCTTTAAAATGGTGTCGATGAATAGAAGAGGGAGATCTACTGCCACGGAAACCAACCAACCATCTATGTTGGGATACATCGTTCTAATTGCTTAAATTCTTTTTAAATTTATCATGTTTACGGTTATAGAATAGAATAGAAGAATAGAAGAGGGAGATCTACTGCCACGGAAACCAACCAACCATCAATACATCGTTCTAATTGTTTAAATTCTTTTTAAATTTATCATGTTTACGGATATACAACCAGACTTCCATTCTCGATAGAACAAAGCTAAGTTTATTAGTTAAGTGGTTAAGTGATGGGAGAACGTATCCTATTTTATTAGCTATATAAAGTGAATCTATCTGTCCATAGTGTCTGTCTGGACAATAATGAAATCACATTTTGTGACTTCTAGACTTTGATCTGGATAGGATGTAATATATTGAATCAAGGTCTTTTATTCCATCTGATATTAATAAACTCTCAACGAGAATCATTTTGATTTTCATTCCATAGTCTAATTTTCTTTTTTCATTTACTGCGAGTTGCTAGCATCCTAGCAAGATCTTCTATGCTTTGTTCCGGATGAAACTAAATTTTGTTAAATTTCCTCATATTCTATTCTAATATCTTCAAGTTTCAAAATTAAACTTTTTAATAGTCTGAATGTTTATATATATCATAATATGACCTGTACATTTCTATGCTAACTTTACTTTGGTCTTAGATTTATTTTTGCTGTAGTTATTTAACTTTAATTTCTAACTATTAATTACAAAATTACCAAACAATCGAGCTTTTAAGAATTTCTGAAATATCTAGTCCATTTTTGTTCAGCCCACACAAAAATTCTACTAAAATTATTTTGGGGGTACCGTTTTGAGAGGCTACTCTTTCGTCTTTAATATACCTATGTTACGCTTTAGCTATTTTTTATAATTTCTCTAATGACACACACACACATCTTAAATAATGTGTATTATCATTAACTGTCCTTAGGGACAGCTCTAAAACGTAGCTGTTACGTCTATGTGTGGTGGTCCCTTGGCTGTCGACTCTACTTCACCAATTCTATGTTACTATCTGGGATCGTTACTTTATAATTACTACATATGTACTTACTAAATGTTAAATAAAAATTTTCATAAATTTAAAAAATAAACATGGAAAACAGTATAATTTAAGTAGTTTAATTAATTAATAGCGAAGTTTTTTTTTCATTTTAAAAATTGAGTTTATTTTAGTTGAGTTGTAGTTGCTGTTGTTGTCGAGATATAATTCAAAGTGCAACTTTATAGTTAACAAGTTAACAGCTAACACAGACTCTATGCACTATTAGTTTTGATAAGTTTGTATGTCTTTATGAAAAACTAATTTCAATGGATCGATATAGAGTATATGATTAGAGTATATGTATGCATATGCATCTACCTATGTATATACGTTTGTGTGAATGCATTTTAATATCAAATTCCAACTGCTAAGTGTCTAGATAAGAGATTATCATAAATTTACATATGAAATGTTTATATTTTTTTCAAAACAACAAAACAATAAAAACAATAACAACAATAACAACAAAAGCAACAAAACAAAATCCAATTTGAATTGCATCCATGCACACTAATACAAACATTAGTGTGCTAACTAACGTATACGAATCGAAAGAGGCATATACCAAAAGCTATACCATATATATATTCTATTATGGCTGTTAACTAGCAAACACGCGTATGTTGCTTACAAACAAACAATGGCAATGGCAGTTAAACAAAATTGTTGTGTGTTGTGTTTGTTGTGTTTGTGTACACACAATTTTCTGATCGAACTAATCGAATCGAATTGCATGGAACACTTGTTGCGCAGGTGCAACAGCCAACCAACAAAAGTAGCAGACACACCAGACACAACAGCCGCACAACAGTCGCACAACATTCGCACAACAAGAAGTCCAACAATAAAATTCAAGGCATTGATCGAACAGGCGCACGTTCGAACTCGATTTCGCCGTATCCGAGCAATGCGAGCAAATGCAGCCAACGTGATTGAATTGTATAGTTTATACGGCGAATTGGTAATACTACAGGTTAAACAAAATGCGCAAAGTGGTTTTCAGTTAATATTAACAAGTCGTGAGGCTAACAACAAGTTGCTACGGCACACAACGCGGCCAAATAAACGTGATTTTCTTGTTGGCCAATTTGTTAGCTTAACGGTGCGCGCAACGTTATAAGGCACACGGTCTTCTATTTACCACTTTTGTGTGATAATTTTAATAATCGTTTTGTTTTGGTTTTTTTTGTTTTGTTGCTGTTGATCTATTACCGTTTAATAAAAAATTATTATTATTAATAATTTTATTTTTTTTTATAAATAAAATATTTTGTCTTTTTATTTAACAATAATTGTGGTTGTTAGTCCACACCCTAAATGCTTTAGGCAACAATTAATATATTTTGGAAAATTATTAAAGTATAAAAAAAAAATATTTTTGGTTGAAAAGTTTTATATATATTTTTGGTACTGATTATTGTCTTCGGGCAATAGGACCCAAGCCTATAATCAATTTGAGAGTTCGATTGCCGTGGGCAATGTGCGTGTGACTCTGTGAACAGCGATTTTAGCGCCAATCATAGAAGTGCTTATATTTGCTGAATTTGTGCAGTGTATTTTTGTTTTTTTTTTCTAATATAATAAATTAAACTATAATTTTCATTGATTGTTAAACTAAGTGAAAAAATTTTTAATAAATTTTTACAATTTTCAATTTTAAATTTACAATTTACAATAAAGTTAAGTTACATTGTTTAATATGCAAATGAAAAATGTTGCTGAAATACTGCAAATTATAATATAATAGAAGTGTGTTTTCTTCTAATGTTTTTTTCTTCAAAGTATCTAAAAATTAAAATTTTTTTATAATTTATTATTAATCAAATAATAACAGCAACTAAAACATGGATACAGCAAGTACATATTCAATATCATATTCTGACTGGCTTACGGAACCACGGTAACATTTATCAAAAAAAATATATATATATATAAATAATATTTTTAATTATTATTAATACTTCGTGTGTGTTTTTTTTTATTTACAAATATTTGTTTACTTTCATTTAAATTTTTAGTTATAAATGCAAAATAAAAACTTTATAATTAATATAGAATTTGAATTGGTATATTCCGATTGGCGATCCTCTATTTTAAGTCATTCTTTTTTTATATACGCAATCAAATTTACACAATATTTTGTTATAAGGGAATTTATTTTTATATATATAAAAGTTGTCAAAATAACCCCATATTATCTGTAATGTAGGTATGTAGAATATTAATCGATATATTCCGATTGATGAGCCTCTATATTAAAGTCGTTATTTTTTAAACACGAAATCAAATTTACATAATTATTTGCTATAAGGGAATTTATTTATTTATTTTTTATATAAAAATTGTCAATTTGTACCTTTATTATCTGAAATATAGGATAGGTTTGGCTAATCTAACTGTCTTCAGCTAAGTTTAAGTGTTTTGTAATAAAGGAATTTATTTATGTATTTTTTATATAAAGATTGTCTATTTGTAACATTATTATCTGAAATGTATGTTAGGTTAAACTAATTGTTTGCTAGTTAATCATAGATCTATTGGTTCCTAGTAATACCAGTTATAGTTAAGCCTCTATATTGCAATTTTTTTTGTGAATTTAAAATTGCTTAAAATTCAACAAAAATCTATTTAAAAATTTTGCAAAGCGCGTTTTTAGACCAAATCTCAGTCAAACTTGCACCCAAACGCCGTATGTGTAGTTCTAGTATATATGCACTACATTATATTGATCCCTAACGATATCAGATAGACGACAACCTTCTATAAATATTTCAATTGACTACACTTCACTTCAATGTCGTACTTTTTTATACATAAAATCTAAGTTACACATTTTTTTATTCTACAAAAAGGTTTTTTGTTTTGTATTTAAAGATAATTGATATGTTCCTTAATTATTTGAAAAATAAACAGGTTACTTTAATTGATAACGCATAGACCTATTGATCTATTATATATACCTATATATAATAAAACTTAAAATTGTGAATTTAAGATTGCTTGAATTTCTACTTCTATAGTACGTTTCTTCTGGCTTCGTTAGCCCAGTTAACTTAATTAAGTTTGCTTAAATTACTTGAATCTCAGGACAGTTAACTGGTCCAACAAAGCCAGTGAAAATATTCTATTAAGAGAGAGCCAAAATATTTTTTTAAACATTTTTAGAAACTTGGATTTAGACCAAAATTTGGGGGAATATACCTCCCCTGCCTTAGTTTTAGTACACAAGTATCGTGTTATCAGTGCCACTTTTTGAAATATTAACAGTTAATAATTACAATGTTATGAAATAATTATCACATTTAATAGTTGATAGTCTGGAATTTTAATCATCGATGATCATTAATTGTTGATGATTTGTACATAGATCTAAACCATAATTCTGTATCATATATTTATTATTTGGACAACGGAAAAAACCAGTGTTTAATTATGTATGTGGATAAGTGCCATAAATGATACGAGTACGTTGAAATTATTTATTTAAAAAGGCTAAGCGGGCAATATAAATATGATATTTTAAAAGAATCTATTTATTGTACATTGTAATATCTTAAAATATATAAAAACAAACATTGTGATTTTGTACACTTCAACTTAATTAGAAAATTTTTATTTGGACGTTTTCTAATCGTTCTGCAATACTACTATCCATTGATTTAAATTATATTATTTTATTATTAGATAATAATAAAATATATTAACATGATCATAATATAAACATCTTTAAACATATCTGGCTAGCTACGAGATCCCTCAGTATTTAAAGCATTGAGGCAGTAAGCAGTCATTGATCTGACATTATACTCAAATTTTGTTTTAAAATTTTAACTAAGTTGTTCTAGGAAACTTATAACACTTTAAACAATAAACACACATGATACATGATACTGGTTGTATATTCTTGTTATTAATGACTAAGTTGAAAAGTATGTCTTTTTCATAGTATGCCTATTTCATAATTCTAATTTCCTTTGTTGATTACAAATCTGAAATCCATAGATTATAACTATTAAGTTTACTACTACTACAGTCTTTCTTACTAAAGCATGAAAAATAGAACTGTAGGTATATAGATCATTGCTTAATAAAGCATATAGAATAGAATCGTATATGACACTTGCTTAATAAAGCATACAGAATAGTATCATATATAAAGTGTTGCTTAATAAAAAATATAGGTTAGAATCGTTTATAGAGTTTTGTTTAATAAAGCATGTGGGATATTATTGTATATATAGTCTTGCTTAATAAAGCATTTAGAATAGAATTGTATGTTGAGTTGTGCCTAAAGAAGGATATAATATGGAGCTTTTCATAGAGTCTTGTTTAACAAAGCATATAGTTTGGGGTTGTAAGTAAAACATACGATACAGAGTCTCCTCTATAAAATCTTGCTATTGAAGTATTCAAGATAAAATTGTTTATTTTGCTTTTTCTGAATGTAATTATTCAGACAATAGGCAGGATAATACAATATCGTTCTTATTACAGCTAACCTCTGTTTTGCTCTTTATAGTATATAAAAAAAATTGGACACAGAGCCTTACTTAATAGAGCAAACGTTAAGGAATTGTTTCTTTGGAGTCTTGCTTATGACCTTGTTAACTAAAGTATGTAAAACCTGGTTGTATATGTAGCTTGGCTTAATAAAGCCAGGATGTACAGAATCATATATAGTCTATTGTTTAATAAGGTGTATACAAATAATCGTTGTTTCTATAAGTCTGATATTAAAGCCTATTAGGTAGGATTATTTGGCTTGCTAATTTCATCATACTGCCATTCTCAGCGTATTTATATTAAGACTATTTTCACGTAACATACAAGAGATCTTCGTAATACAGAAGATTCTTATAATCAAAATGTTATTTCCTTTTCAGTTATGAATATTAAGATTTATTATAAGCCCAAATCTTGACTTTATTTTTTTATAATACAATAATAAACCCTTGGCGCTTCGCGAAGAATAGGATTATCATTGATTTTTCACAGAAAGAGTTGAAAGTCATATGGAAAACAGAAATTGTGGATATTATTATAAATGTTTTATTTTTTCAAATATTTATATATGCGAATATAATTCTTAATAATAATAATTCTTATAAATAACAAGAAATAATAATAAGTTTTTTTCATTGAACAAAAATGGCTTTAAATATACCCGCATATCACACTTATTAACCACATTAATGAAAAAAAAACAGAAAACTAATAGAAATAATGACTATAATTAAAGTTAATAAGATTAATACAATAATAATAATATTTATTTAGTAATTGATAATAATAATAGCAGATACAATAAAACAGAAAAATAAAAGAAATGTAAACAATAATTAAACATGAATCACCATTTGAGAAGCATAGGCTCTTTTGTAATGAATTATGTGATATTAATGAAGACAATTTATATGTGAACATTGGATTAATGAAGTTGGAAACAGCTAGCACCTTTACTCCTTCGTCCGAAAGCATCTCATTTGATTTAGACTGGAGATCAGAGTCAGGTTAGGTAGGAGTGGAGTCGAAAGTCCACTTAGGCTCAAATAATGGCTCGTTGTAGTACCACAGGATTAGCGTTTGGAAATCATGATAATCTATTTCAAATTTATTTTGAAATCCTTTTCCCTTTTATTTATCACTATGATAATATTTTATGATCTTTTAAATAATAAGTTATACTATATGTGTAGCATGTCAGATCAGGTCAGATTAAGTGAAGATATAATTTTCTATTCTTCGATTTCTTTTGTTTAGTATGTTTTAAGCAAACCAAAAGACATACTGGTTTTCGGGTATATTTTTTATTTTTTTTTTCTGAATCTCCTTTTCAATTTTTTAAATCATGATAGTATGGATATCCTCAAGTTTTTTTTGCTTCGCTTGAAGAGTTATATGTGTACCATATTACATCTTATGGGTTGCATTTTATCAGTATTAACTGGGTATAATTTTCTCAAGCTCAAACTTATTCTCTCTTTATTTTAACACGTTTAAGATCACCTATGAGACATGATAGTTCTCAGTAATACTTTTTCTTTTATTTCGAAATCCTTTTCTTTGTTTTTTACGGTATTACGAATATCGGCAAATTTTCCCTGTGTCCCTTAAATAATCAGTTAGGTATGTAACCTATTAGACCTTATGAGTTTTAGTGTAACATTATCTTATGGTATTAGGTCAATTTGTGATTTTTTGTTGTTCAACTTTTTTGTTTTAACATATTTTGGATCAACTACAATATAGGGTGGATTTAAGTGGAATTTTTACTTTTATTTTGAAGCCCTTTTTTTCTTTTTGAAAGTATGACAGCATGAGTATAGGTCAATTTTCTCTCAGTCACTTTTGTAGCAATATAGTAGTAGATGAGATACAATAGATTTTGGAGATATTTGTCAACGGCATTTTTCAGGATCCCATTTTTAATTTTTGGTCAAATTTTTTAAGTATTAAATTATGGATATAGCCCACTTTTCTCGCAGTCACTTGAATAGAAAATTATATATGAAGCATATTAGATCTTATATGATCTCATTATGTTTTAAAATATTAAGTCCAGTTAAAACTGTTCGTTTTATAACTTATTTATTTAAACGCTTTTGGGACCCACTGTAAGATAACTGTTGTTTTCGGAGACAGTTTTCATGGTCCGTATGTGAAAGGGCAAGTCTTACTTATTTTAACTAAAAAAACTATTTATAGTTCATATACCTATATATTATAGTATAAAGCTGTATAAAACTATATATAGCTGTTGTATGCTGTTGCAGGCAATCACTGAAACCGCGATTTATGTTCTAACATATATAATTACAGCAACGTTTTAGCTTTTTTGACCGATATTCCACAAAGTGCTCTGGTAAAGCATCAAATTAGTCAGCATTTTAGACATTTTTA